TGATGTAGTAGTAGTAGTAGTAGTAATAGTTGTTGTAGTTGTAATAGTAGTAGTAGTCGTAGTAGTAGTAGTGGTAGTAGTAGTAGTAGTAGTAGTAGTAGTAGTAGTAGTAGTAGTAGTAGTAGTAGTAGTAGTGGTAGTAGTTCTAGTAGTAGTAGGATAGTAGTACTGAGTAGTGAGACTTGAGTAGTGAGGGTAGTTAGTGAGTGGTAGTAGTGTAGTAGTAGTAGGAGAGTAGTAGTAGTAGTGGTAAGCAGTAATTAGTAGTATTAATATTTTGTATTATTCGTAAATCGAGACGTCGTAGTTCGTTAGTCGTAGTAGTAGTAGTAGTAGTAGTAGTAGTAGTAGTAGTAGTAGTAGTAGTAGTAGGAGTAGGAGTAGGAGTAGTAGTAGTAGTAGTAGTAGTAGTAGTAGTAGTAGTAGTAGTAGTAGTAGTAGTAGTAGTAATAGTAGTACTAGTTATAATAGTCAGAGTAGTCGTCGTCGCAGTAGTAATGGTAATCGTAATAGCACTCGTAGTAGCACGCGTAATACAATTACTCCGACGGAAGGACCCCGCATGAGAATCCTCTGGGCGAGTCTGGAAAAAGCCCTCACCGTCGTCCTCGTGGTTGGTGACGCGTCCTGGCTGTCTCTTCTGCGTATATTTCTTCTCGCCCTGGCGCGGGCCTTCCCCCCGCTCCCTACGTTGCCCCCAACCTCGCCCTCCTGTTTTGGCTCCGGATATTCAAAAAGTGGCCCGGGAGTGGTGTTCTGGGAACACGAAGAACACGAAGTGGCCCACAGTTGGCTCTGGGCATTCAAAATGTGGCTCGGGAATTGTGTTCTGGGAGCACGAAGAACACGAAGTGGCCTACAGTTGGCTCCGGGCATTCAAAATGTGGCCTGGGAGTGGCGTTCTGGCGGCGCGACAGCCCAAAAGTGGCGACAGTTACAGGAATTGGACGACCCGCTCGGATTAATAACATGATCCGTGGGCCCCATAAGGAGGGGGCTCCCGCTTGAGACTTCCTCGCGATTCATTCACAAATGTGGCCTGGGAATGGCGTTCTGGCAGCGCAGAGCCCAAAAGTGGCGATAGTCATAGGAATTTGATGACCCGCTCGGATTAGTAAAATGATCCGCCGGCCCCATAGGGAGGGGGCTCCCGCTCTAGACTTCCTCACAATTCACTCACAAATGTGGCCTGGGAATGGCGTTCTGGCGGCGCGAGAACCCAAATGTGGCGACAGTTAGAGGAATTGGATGACCCGCTCGGATCAGTAACATGATCCGCGGGCCCCACAGGGAGGGGGCTCCCGCTTGAGACTTCCTCGCAATTCACTCACAGACGAGGCCCAAGGCGAGTGAGTGAATGAGTGAGTGACTGGCTGACTGGTGATGATGATGATCATCACACTCTCTCACGCGCACTCTCATCATCATCATCATCATCATCATCCTTATCATCATCATCATCACCATCATCATATGTGAGTGCTGATGAGTGAGTGAATGAGTGAGTGAGTGAGTGTGGAGGGATGATGAGTGAGTGAGTCAGTGAGGAATGCGTGATGATGATGACGATGATGCTGATGATGCTGATGATGCTGATGATGATGATGATGATGGTGGGTTCCTGTTCCTGCGCGGGGTGTCCAGAGAAAATTACTCCGACGGAAGGACCCCGCATGAAAATCCTCTGGGCGAATCTGGAAAAAGCCCTCACCGTCGTCCTCGTGGTTGGTGAGGCGTCCTGGCTGTCTCTTGTGCGTATATTTCTTCTCGCCCTGGCGCGGGGATACGTGCCGGGAATAGCGCTCTGGGAACACGACGAACACAAAATGGCCTACAGTTGGCTCCGGACATTCAAAATGTGGCCCGGGAATGGTGTTCTGGGAGCACGAAGAACACGAAGTGGCCTACAGTTGGCTCCGGGCATGCAACATGTGTCCTGGGAGTGGCGTTCTGGCAGCGCGAGAGCCTAAAAATGGCGACAGTTACAATAATTGGATGGCCCGCTCGGATTAATAACATGATCCGCGGGCCCCATAGGGAGGGGGCTCCCGCTTGAGACTTCCTCGCGATTTACTCACAGACGAGGCCCATGTGGCCTGGAAGTGGCGTTCTGGCAGCGCGAGAGCCCAAAAGTGGCGACAGTTACAAGGATTGGAGGACCCGCTCAGATTAGTAACGTGATCCGCGGGCCCCATAGGGAGGGGGTTCCCGCTTGAGACTTCCTCGCAATTCACTCACAGACGAGGCCCAAGGCGAGTGAGTGAGTGAATGAGTGACTGACTGACTGACTGACTGGTGATGATGATGGTGATCATCACACTCTCTCGCGCGCACACTCATCATCATCATATGTGAGTGCTGATGAGTCAGTGAGTGAGTGAGTGAGTGAGTGAGTGAGTGTGTGATGGGATGATGAGTGAGTGAGTGAGTGGGGAATGAGTGATGATGATGATGGTGGGTTCCTGTTCCTGCGCGGGGTCTCCAGAGAAAACAAGAACCCCACTTTGGATGTGGGGAACAAGAACCCCACTTTGGATGCGGGGAACAGTCGCAGTCGTAGTAGTAGTAGTAGTAGTAGTAGTAGTCGTAGTCGTAGTAGTAGTAGTAGTAGTAATAATAAAAATAACCGTAGTAACAGTCATCGTCGTAGTCGTAGTCGTCGTCTTAGTAGTAGTCGTAGTAGTCGTAGTAGTCGTAGTAGTAGTAGTAGTAGTAGTAGTAGTAGTAGTAATAGTAGTAGTAGTAGTAGTAGTAGTAGTAGTAGTAGTAGTAGTACTAGTAGTCGTAGTAGTAGTAGTAGTAGTAGTAGTAGTAGTAGTAGTAGTAGTAGTAGTAGTAGTAGTAGTAGTAGTAGTCGTAGTAGTAGTAGCCATAGTCGTAGTAGTAGTAGTAGTAGTAGTAGCAGCAGTAGTCGTAGCAGTAGTAGTAGTAGTAGTAGTAGTAGTAGTAGTAGTAGTAGTCGTAGTAGTAGTAGTAGTAGTAGTAGTAGTAGTAGTAGTAGTAGTAGTAGTAGTAGTAGTAGTAGTAGTAGTAGTAGTAGTAGTAGTAGTAGTAGTAGTAGTAGTAGTAGTAGTAGTAGTAGTAGTAGTAGTAGTAGTAGTAGTAGTAGTAGTAGTAGTAGTAGTAGTAGTAGTAGTAGTAGTAGTAGTAGTAGTAGTAGTAGTAGTAGTAGTAGTAGTAGTAGTAGTAGTAGTAGTAGTAGTAGTAGTAGTAGTAGTAGTAGTAGTAGTAGTAGTAGTAGTAGTAGTAGTAGTAGTAGTAGTAGTAGTAGTAGTAGTAATAGTAGTAGTAGTGGGTTCAGCGTCGTTCGGGTCAACACCATGAAAGTTCTGTAGCTTTTGAAGCTTGTAAACTTTTGCAATTTTCGAAACGTTTGAAACTTTTGAAACTCTTGAACTTTTGGAATTTTTGAAACGTTCAAATTCTTGGAACTTTTGATACTTCTGAAACTTTTGAGTATTGTAGAACGTCGACACTTTTGGAGCCTTTGGAACTGTTGGAACTTCTGAAACTTCTGCAATTCTTGAATCATTTGAAACGTTTGAAAAGTTTGAAACTTTGAGAACTTTGAACTTTTTGTAATTCAAAACCCATTGCTTATCTGGAAACTGTTGCAACTTTTGCATCTCTTGAAATTATCAAACTGATGGAACTTCTGGAACTTTTGAAACTTTTGGAACTTTGATACCTTTGGCACTCTAGTAGCTTTTTGAGAGTAAAACTTTCGGACGCATCATTATCGTCATCATCATCATCACCACCATCATCATCACCATCACCATCGTCAACATCATCATCATCAGCAGCATCAGTATCAACATCAGCATCCGCATCATCATCCCTGCCCCTCGAAGATCCCATAATTCACAAGTCGACAATCACAGCTGATGTCTGTCTTTGTTTTTTTTTCCGCTCCTGATTTTCCTGGGAAGCGTCGGGGATCGGGGGCGAGAAGTCGACTGCGAGCCTCCCCCCCGCTCCGACAGGATGGCCTGCTGCCTGCCGTCGGCTTCCTCGCGCTCGCCGCGGAGGGATCTCGGCGAGCCACGCCTCGACTCGGGCGTTGCTTAGTGGGGTGGCCATGACTGGGGAGTAAGAAACGTGCACCTTGCGTGGTCCTTTCGGGTCCAGGGGGCTCCTTTAGCGCACACGAGTGCACCTTTCCCCACTCCCCAGTTAAGGTAAGTTCGTGCAACGTCGGTGCGCGCACAAACGTTTTTGACGCCGCGTCGATCGTTCAAAACGTTTTTCCACCGCGTCGATCGTTCGACCTTGAACCGATCGCGGCCCCGATCGTTCGAAATGGAATTCCGTCGGTTCATGTGGCGTTGCCGTGTCCCTCGGTGCTTCAGCGTCGTTCTATCATGCGGAGCTCAACCTTGAACGCCCTGCACGGCGTCGCCGGATCGCCATCGTTGCATAAACCTGCCGTATCGACCCCCCCATTTCACGTCGGTCGGAAGAAGTAGGTCAAAACAGGAAGCAGGACGGTGGATCAAGGAGATGGGGCTCAGGCCCTCCCAGAGAACAACAACACGCAGCCCAAACATGCTTGGAGGCCTCCTCGATGGGGTCCGAGATGGGGTCGGAGGATCTCGCCGCATCGCCGATAGATCGGCGATGCACTGGCGACGTCGGCGATGCATCGGCGAAGTCGGCGTCGAGAAAATTGTGCCCCGCATCGAGCCGCATCGCCGATGCATCGCCGATGCATCAGCGATGCGGCGCAATCCTCCGACCCGATCTGCTCCGACCCCATCTAGGAGGCCTCGGATATCGGCTCTTGAAATAGGAAGGCGCTGGATGCAGTAGAGTGGGATCTGGGAGTCCAGAAATACCTACAGTCGGGGCGTTGACCTAAGGAACCCTAAATCAGGAACGAGGCCCCTATTTCCCATAAGTCAAACTTCGATCTCACATCGAAAACCAGAGGAAAACCCAAGGCAAGCTGCGAAACAATCAAGGAACACCGAGCCCCTCCCCAACGAACAGGGTTCCTTCTTCAGCGCCCCGACTGTACTGTCAGCGACCGGCGTGTCAGCAGTGCCCCACCGACGCCGCGCACGGCGGCCCTGGAAGGCCCGCGCGCCCGGCTCCTGGAGAGGTCCGCGGCAAAGGCTGGGCGAGCTGGGCCCCCCCCTTCTGGCCAGGCTCGGGGTGATGTCGGTCTCGGCCCGAGCAGCCAGGGAGGGAGCAGGCGGCGGAGGATAAGATAAGATAAGATAAGATAAGATAATATAATATAAGATCAGATAAGATGATATAAGATAAGATAAGATAATATAATATAAGATAAGATAAGATACTATAAGACAATATAAGATAAGATAATATAAGATAAGATAAGATACGATACGATAATATAATATAAGATAATCTACTATACTATACTATAAGATAATACAAGCGACGATACTATACGATAAGATACGACGCCGCCTTGCGATCGAGTCAAGGTCGAATGGCCACAGGCCTCCTTCAAGCACACGAGGCCCTCCGCTGGCGCAAACCGAAGAGCCTCCGAGGGTACCCTCCCCCAGGATGCACAAGCACGTCCAGCAGGCACGCAGAACAGTGGGGTACCTTCCCCAAGCCGATCTCGATCTTGTGCCTCGGTCCGACTGTGCGGCAAGTGCACCTGCTGCGGCTGAATGGCCCCGCCGCTCCCTCCGCCCCCCTCCCTCGGAGGCCTCGGGATGTGGGCAGAGAGTGGGCGGCCCTCTCTCCCTCCGCCCGACCTCCGGAAGGGTTCGGCCCCGCGTCGGCCCCGAGAGCGCGGCCGCGCGTGGGGGCGCGGCGCGGCGACCGCCAGGGGGCGCCCAGAAGGCGCTGCGCGAGAGAGAGAGAGAGAGAGAGGGCCGAGGAGCAGACGATAGTGGGCACACCGGGGGGAGGAAGAGTGGGAGGAGGAAGGTGGCGTGGCCACGTCTTGCGGGGGCTTGGCGCCCGGTGCCCCCCCCCGTGCCGAAGCATGCACGCCTTTTGCCGTCGACGGCACGCCTCGGTCGTGTTTGGGGGCCTCGGCCGAGCGAGGCGCCCCGGCAGAGGTCAGAGAATCGGCCAGGCCAAAAAAAAACAACTCGACGAGGCCCGTGTGCGCGTGCACACGGCTTTGTCTGGATGCTCTAAAGAAGAAGAAACAGCTGCGTAAACATAAACTTTTGGCGCTCCGCGCGGAGTTCCTGGATCTGCGCTGGAGGCGCCGCCAGGGGGCCACAGCGCGGATCCAAGAAATCCGTGCGGAGCGCCAAAAATTGATGTTGATGGCGCTTTTTCTTCTTCGATGCTCACCCCGCACGAATAGCGCCGATGCCGGCACCCGTGCCGAACAGGGCGTCACTTGCCCGTCCACAGCTTGGACCCGCCGCTCTCCCGCAGGCGGGCCCACGAATCGTGCGTCTCCTGCGGGGCGGCCGCGAACCCGGCCCGAGGGGGCGATGCCCAGACCCCCTCGCGCTGTGCACAAGATCACGACGGGACAACTTCTCGCCCGCGCTCGGCCCCTCGGGGGCCCTCGCTGGGCCCCAGGGCCTTCCACAGACAACCCGGGAGGAGAGGCTGGTCCTGGCCGAAGGGGTCCAGCCCTCCGGGGGACTCACGCTGCGGCCGAAACCACGACGTGCGCGGTCTGGCGGTCCCGCCCCCTCCACGCCACCCTGGCAGGCCAACCGGCACGGGGAAGGGGACTGAGATTTCCCAGGCGTTTCGGACACTTCCTTGGGCCTCCTTGGGCCGCAGGAGGCCTCGAAGGCCTCTGGTGGCCTCTGGACCCGAGGCCTCCAGGGACCTCTGAAATTCTCGTTGCCGTCCACGCGCTGTTCCTCCTCGTCCTTGCTCTCCTCCTCCTCCTCCTCCTCCTCCTGCTGCTGCTGCTCCCCATGCCCTACCGCCGCCTCCCCCGCACCCTCCTCGTCCTCGCCACCTTCCGGCTCCTCCTCTTCCTCCTCCTCCTCCTCCCCCCCCTCCTCCTCGAACTCGCGTCCTTCCTTCTCGCCCTCGTCCTTGCCCTCCTCCTTCTCCTCGCCCTCGTCTCCCACATCCTCACCGGCTACTCCTTCTCCTCCTCCTCCCTCGTTTCCCCCCCCCTCTCCGGCAACCTCCACAAATATCCACATCCTTCTCCGTCTATATCTTCTGCTTATGCCTATTCCCCGTATCCTAAGTGAGGTACTGGTTTTCTCTGTACGCCTCCGCGCAGTATGACCTCCCACCTCTTCTGCACATTCCTCCTCCTCCTCCTCCTCATCATCATCCTCATCATCATCATCATCGCCATCGTCATCGTCATCGTCGTCATCATCATCATCATCATCATCATCAATACCACCACTATCATCACCAACACACACAGCCATTCGTAATTATCCACGCTATCACACACACTCATTCATCATCACCATCATCATCACCATCAGACTCACACACCTCCTCATCGACGCCATTATCACCAACTTTCAATCGCCACAGGTATCATCACACATTCATCACTATCACCATCCCATCGTGATCATCGACCAAGAGGGAACCTCTTCCGTGAGTGAATTGCGAGGGGATTTTAGGCGGGAGCCCACTCCCTATGAAGTCCGCACTTCATGTTGGTATTCCCAGCCGGTCATCTTAATCTTGTAGCTGTCGTCACTTTTCGGCTCCTCTGGACTAAGTACGGAAGGGATCTCAGGCGGAAGCTTCGTTTGTGAGAGAACCGCGAAGCGGTCTCAGGCGGGAACCCCTTTCTATGAAATCCGCGGTTGATATACGTAATCCGAGCGGGTCATCGGGACCCTGTCCTTGTCGTCATTTTTCGGCTCCTCTGGACTGAATGCGGAGGGGATCTCAGGCGGGAGCCTCGTCCGTGAGTGAATTGAAGCCTCATGCGGAGGCCCCCTCCCTAAGGGGTCCGCAGCTCATGTTGGTAATCCGAGCGGGTCATCGGGATCCCGTAACTGTCGTCACTTTTCGTTTCCTTTGGATTGAATCAGGAGTAAGTTTCGGGGGGGAATTTCGTCTGTGTGTGAAACGCGAATGAATTTCAGGCAGGATCCCCTTACCTATGGGATCCGCGCTTCATGTTGATATTCTGGGCGGGTCATCGGCATCAAAATTGTCGTCATTGTTCTGCTCCTCCGGATTGAATATGGAAGAAATCTCAGGCGGGAGCCTCGTCTGTGAGTGAATTGCGATGAAGTCTCAGGCGGGAACCCCGCGGTTCATGTTGGTAATCCGAGCGGGTCGTCGGGATCCTGTAACAGTCGTCGCAAGTTTCGGCTCCCCTGGGTTGAGTATGAAGGGACTCTCAGGCGGGAGCTTCGTCTGCGAGTTGAATTGCGATGAGCTCTCAGGCGGGAGCCCGCTCCCTGTGGGGTCCGCACTCCATGTTGGTAATCTGAATGGGTCATCGGAGACGTGTAGCTGTCGTCACTGTTCGGCTCCTCTGGATTGAATATAGAAGAAGTCTCATGCGGTAGCTTCGTCTGTGAGTGAATTGCGATGAAGTCTCATGCGGGAGCCCCCCCCCTTTGGGGTCCGAACTTCACGTTGGTGCTCCCGGCGGGTCATCGGAACCTTGTAACCGTCGTCAGGGTTCCGCTCCTCTGGATTGATTATGGAGGAAGTCTCAGGCGGGAGCGTCGTCAGTGAGTGAATTGCGATGAAATATCAGGCGGGAGCCCGCTCCGTGTGGGGTCCGCACCTCATGTTGGTAATCCGAGCGGGTCATGGGAACCGTGTAGTAGCTGTCGTCACTTTTCGGATCCTGTGTTCTGACGATGGACTCTCGGGCTGAGGCGGAGCAGCTCGCGGCAAAGCTGAACTTCGTGCTGCCTCCCGCCTGAGCACGGCCGCGACTGACTCGGTGCCCGCGGGGCTGTCCCAACGGCTTGCTCTCGCGCCCCAGCGGCTCGCGGGGTTGTCCCGACGGCCGTTGCCCTGACGGTTTCGCGATTTTGCCATCGGAGAACGCGCCCCTGCCTGGCGCGGCGGCGAGGGCGCCGAGGAAAACCGGCACGCCCCCCCTGCCAGGAGGAAGGGGAGGTGCATGAGAACAGGCGGGGTTGAGATGAGGGGGGGAGAAGGAGGAGGTGGAGGAGGGGGAGGAGAAAAAAAACGAAGAGGACGAGGAGAAATTGAACAAGGAGGGCGAGCAGGAGGAGGACCCGGAGGACTAGGAAGACTAGGAAGATGAGGAGGAGGCGCAACAGAGGGCGAGACGGTGGGCTTCGGCCAGGGCGAAGAGGAAAGAGCGAAGGGCAATCCAAATAGATTATCATGTGGGGTCCTGCCGTCAGAATACTCCTTATTTTGATTCGTATTATTGTTGTTCTCCTTCTCCTCCTCTTCCTCCTCCTCCCCCTCCTCCTCCTCCTCCTCCTCCTCCCCCTCCCCGAGGGCTCGGAGGATCCCTGGCCGGCCGGGTGTCGAGGTCTCGGTAGGGTCTCTCGAGTGCACCCGACAACCCGTACCAAGTGCCTTGTCCAACTGTCCGTGTGGAGTCACTGGACCACTCCAGGGGGGAGGCAGCCCACCATAATCTTCCCTCTTCTAATCCTCCCCCTCCGCTGTTCCATTCCCTCCACCCTATCCTCCACCTCAGCATCCCCTCTCCTCATCCACCCCTACCTCCTCCTCCTTCTCCTCCTCCCCCTCCTCCTCCTCCTCCTCCAACATCCTCCTGTCGCCATGTTCGTCCCTCCTCCGCGATCCTCTCTTTCAGCCCCCCAATCCTCATCCTCCCTTGACCTCTTTCTCCTCACCCCTTCCTCCCCCACCGGCTTCCCCCTCATTCTCGTTTGCAATATCGTCGCCGTCGTCTTGATGGTGGTCGTGGTCGTGGTCGCCGTCGTCGTTTTCTTTCTCCTCCACCCTGTCCTCCTCCTTCTCCTCCTCCTCCTCCTCCTCCTCCTCCTCCTCCCTCTTCCTTCCTCTTCCTCCCAGGGAAAGGGGAAGGAATGCGTGAAGGAGGTCGTTGTTTTGTCGGCATCAAGCCCAGGATCTCCTGGATAACCTCCAGCGCCCTCTTCTTGCCAAGAACCTGTTCGTCGTAGGATTACGGGCAGGAGCAGGAACAACAGTATCAGTATTAGTGGCGCTTGCAGCATTGACCGTGAAGGTAAGAGGGTGAAGATGAGGAGAGGAAACAGCTCTATAGAGAGTGAGGCACTTTTCGGAAGGGAGCGGTGGGGTAACACCTCTTCGCCGTAGCCGAAGCTGTTGAGGGGCTTCCCGTCCGGCGTCTTGTACCACCGGAACCACTCGCGGATCCCCGCCACTACGCCAACCATCTTCGTCTCGACGTCTTTGATGTCGTTGAGCTGATCTGCGAGCTCATCGTCGGCGGAGATCGCGATAACCTTCCAGTCCAGCTCGCCCGAATCGATCATTGCCAATACTCCCAACACCTTGACTCTAACAATCTCGCCTTGCTTGTGCGCTCGGCTGCCGATCTCCACAACGTCTACAGGGTCATCGTCGCCGTTCACTTTCAGCTCATTGTGCATGTGGGAAGGATCCTCCCAAGTCTGGGGGAGGAACCCGTAATTCCAGAAGATCGGGCCGTGGTAATCACGAAGCGCCCCGTTCTTGACATCCTGCGCTATCGGGTTCCACGGCTCCTTCGTCGCGATCTCCATCTTTGGCTTCGTCATCTTCGGTATCTCCGTGACCATCCAGAAATCGCCCTTCACGCCGCTGACCTCGAGGGGCAGGTCGTGCCACGGAGAGACCTCCTTGCCGTCCGCGCCAAGGAAGAATCTTCGGAACTCTGCGGAGCCCTCCTTGCCCCGGACCTCTGTCCGCACCTCCTCCACGGTCTGCACGGCCCGCCGCCCGACGGCAACTGCGCCGCGCTTCACGCCTCGAGGGCACCTCCTCCCCCCCGCGTTCTTCCGCCCCACCCCTCGCACCACCCCTCCGGTGCCCCATCCCTCATCCCCTTCTTGTCTCGGCGCTTCACTCCCTCTCTTTCTCTCCTCTCCGCCCCCCTACCACACCCCTCATTACTCCCTCTTCCCTGCCCCCTCCTCCCCCCCTAACACCCCTCGCCTCGTGCCATGCCGTGCCGTACCCGTGTGCCGTGCTCAGGTTCCAGAATGCGTAGAAAAACGTGCCTCGCCGTGCCCAAACTTGTAGAGTTCGCAACCTGTGCCGTGCCGTGCGTGGGTTCTAGCATGCAGAGACTGCGCCGCGCCGTGCCCGCGTGCCATGCCGAGGTCCCAGACTGCGGGAAATGTGCCGTGCCGTGACCGCGTGCTGCGCTCGGATTCCAGCATGCGACAGACGTGCCGTGCCGTGCTGTGTCAGCGTGCCGCGCCGAACTCGGTTGTAGAGCGCGAAGACGTGCCGGGTCTTGCCTGCGATCTGGCCTGCGAGGCATGCTCCGTGTCGTGCCAGCGGGCGGCCCCCGCGTGCCGCGCCTGTGTTCTCAGGGTGCGACGAGTGTGCCGTGCCGTGCCGTGCTTGGTCTCTTGCGGCACTGACTGCCCGCACCAAGCACGCTTCCGTCGACAGTGGCTTGCCATCTGTGTTCTCATGCAGCCTTGCTGTTCAGGGTCCCTCTGCACGGTCAGCTTCTGTCGGTGCGCTGGAGGCCCGGGGAGGCGGTGCGAGGTGGAAGATGGATGGAGGCTGCATGGAGGCGGAGGATGGAGCCTGGAAGCTGGCTCCCGAGCTGCCCCCATTTGGGGCCCTCGGCGGCGAGCCCTCTGAAAGCCCCCCCCCTCCCAGGACCGTCGGCGCCGCGATCTGCCCCCCCAACGCGTGCCTCCCCAGCGCCCTCGACCCGTGGACGCCGACACCGGTCCCGGCCAGGCCCGTGATGGGCCCAGGCTCGGTGTACAGCAGGAGCCTGGCCACAAGAGACCCAGCCCTGAGGCACCAGGAAGTCCATGGATTTTCGGTCTGGGGACGTCGCGCTTTCCACAGCAAAGCCATCGAAACCCAAGGAACCCAGGGAACCCTGGAGGCAAGCAGGCTGCTTCTTGGCAGGAGCCTCCACTGCACTACTTGCCTGGGTGCCTTGGCGAGGACGGCGCCCCCGATCCTGGGCCTGCGATCGGCAGGGCCAGGGCTGCTGTATAAGTAGGTTTCAATCGGGTGTGCCCCGCTGCAGGAGGAATGTTCAAACATAGTCAACAAATAATCAGGAATCCGCCGGCCCCCTTGTGGGGCCACCAGGCTGTAGGACGAGGGTTTGCTGTTCCCTGCGCCAGTTCCAGTTTCCAGTTTCCACTGTTACTGTTCTGCTTTATGCTGCTTGCTGTTCCTTGTTGTAGACCGCGCGAGGGGGGGAGCCGAAAACCGCCCTGGTTAGCACCTCCCTGGAGGGGTCTCAGAATTTCTGGGGGGGTCGAAATTGACACCCCTCACGCAGATCGGCGGGGTCAGGGTCGGAGAACACATGGGATTTGCCACATTTCTTAAATTCGGTGGCACCCCTCACGCAGATCGGCGGGGTCAGGGTCGAGCAACACATGGGATTTGCCACATCTCTCAAATTCGGCGGCACCCCTCACGCAAATCGGCAATGGTCAGAGTCCAAAAACCTATGGGATTCGCTACATTCTAAAATTCGGTGGCACCCCTCACGCAGATCGCCGGGGTCAGGGTTGAAAAACCAATGGGATTTGCCACATATCCAAAATTTGGCGGCACCCCTCACGCAGATCGGCGGGGTCAGAGTCGAAAGACCAATGGGATTTGCCACATTTGTGAAATTCGGTGACACCCCCCACGCAGATCGTCGAAGTCAGTGTCGAAAAACCAATGGGATTTGCCATATTTGTGAAATTTGGCGGCACCCCTCACGCAGATCGGCGGGGTCAGGGTAGAAAAACACAAGGGATTTGCCACGTGTCCTGAAATTCGGTGACCCCCCTCACGCAGATCGGCGGGGTCAGGGTCCAACATCACAAGGTCTTTGCCACATGTCTGACATTCGGTGGCACTCCTCATGCAGATCGGCGGGGTCAGGGTCGAAAAACACATGGGATTTGCCACATGTCTTGAACTTCGGTGGCACCCCTCACGCAGATCGGTGGGGTCAGGGTAAACAAACATATGGGATTCGCAACTATTCAATATTTCGTAGGAAAGCTTTTTGCACAGCATGCGCGAGCAAGCTCGACATGCAACACCGAATTCAACAATATATTCAGAATCTCAATTTGTCTTGCCGATTACTCATCGTCTTCGCGTGAAGTCCCGACGCTGCGTCACGGCGGCGCCAAGGCCTCATGATTTCGCTCTTGCATTGCCCATTATCCGAGAGAGGGGGCCTGCGGCAGGGGGCGAAGCCCTTACGGATATATGTATAGATGTATATATATATATAGAGCAATAGACATATGTTTGACTATCTTTTTTCTTTCGTCCAAAACCCGCCTGTGGGAGGACAGGCCCGACCTAAAATTAGATCTGGAATTGACGCCCCCCTGTCTCTGCACGACCCCCTGCTCCTGGAGCCCGATTTTTGACTCCTCCACCTCTGTCCTTCTGCTGTTGCTCTTGCTGTTCCCCCCATCCTCCCCCCGTCCTCCTCGTCCTCCTCCCCCCCTTTCCCCCCCGCTCCCCCTCCAGACCCCTAAGTTTTATCCGCAAGTGCGGGGTGCTACGTGTTATTCGCGATAATCGGCCGGCGCGGCCACCCCCTCCTGGTCACGTCACGCTTCGCGATGGCCCCGCGTAGGAATCAACCGTTCCTCAGCATTCCCTGACGGCGCCGGCGCCAATCGTGACGTGACTGGCCCCCTCCCGCCCCCCCGTCACGCCTGGTATCGCCAGGGGATAAGAAAACGGTCCCCTGGCCCCTGGGAGCCCCGAAAGCCCGTCTCACGACAGGCCGTGCGATGACCTCGAGATCCCAGAAACCTCACCTTCCAGAAAATTGAAGGGGCCCTGGGACACACAAATAAATAGACACAAATAAAAGGATCCCCCATATTTTCTCATATTTTCTGGGTTTTTGTCTTCCCCCCCAATTCCCATATTTTCCCATATTTTCCTGGGAGTCGAGGATTAATTGTGTCTGTGTGTTTTTTCCCCCCCCTGATAAAGGTGTCCCCGGTCCAAGGTGCCCCAAGCTTTCCGTTCCATTTTGTAGCTCCTGGGACCCTCTGGGCCTCGTGTGAGGGATGCTCCGAAGGCCGTGGGGGCCTCCTTGGAAATCCTGGGGGCGGGTGGTATCTTTGTGTAGGTGGCTTGTGTGTGTGTGTGTTCTTGTGTGTGTGTGTGTCTCCAGCTTTCTCATTGCCTTTCTCGTTTCCTGTATCCTTCGGTATTTCCCATTATCATTCTCTCTCTCTTTCTCTCTCTCCCTCTCTCTCTCTCTCTCTCTCTTGCATGCCTCTAGGTCCAAGTGGCTTCGCTGTTTATCCAAAGATATCGATGCTCATCTTTGTCATGCGAGCACGAACGGAAAATGTGTGGCAGCTCGTGGAAACGCGTTTCGCCAGAGAAGCCTTGCGGGAGCCGAGCGGGAGCGGGCGGGAGCGAGTAGGCAGGTTTCTCGGGTTGAGGTCAGCGTGCACCTATTGCAGAGAGCGCGGGTAGAAGCGCGCATGGTTTCTTGATTTGGCCATGCCAGAAAGCTAACATATGCGTACCCACACGTTCACATGTAGTATATGTTACGCACATTGCCACGCGCGCGCGCTGTGAATGCCAACATCTAGAACACGCGCGCTGTATATTTTACAACGATGCGTATTTAGGTTTGGGCTCAATTTTGATTGGGGTGCCTTGACCGAAGCGGCCTGGCATCGCATCGCCCTCGCGCCAGGTCGGCGCGAGATGGCCGCCAGCTCAGGCGCGCAGTCCTCATCGGGCGCGCCTTTGACGTTGGCCCAGCAATACGAGCAAGAAGAAGATTGTGCGATCTCTTTCGAGCTCGCGGTGAAGGTGACGGGCGCTCTGGTGTGCGCAACCATCAAGAAGCCCGACCACCGCGACGGCCCGCGGCGGGCCATCCAGCCGGCGCACTTGCCGCTCATGGACGAGCTCACTTCGCGTTCAAAGCCTGGCACGCTGACCGTAACGCACCTTGTCGACGTTTGCTTGAACGTCGATGACATGTTCGACAGGGTCGCCGTGTTGGGTCTGATGCAGAACCACGAGTATCTCCAACTCCCAGGCGTTCTCAGCCCGAAGGCCGTGATAGCATTCAACTTCCACATGAACTTGTGCATTCTTCCAGCCGAAAACAACAAGGTTGAGGTGTTCAAGCACTTCGTGTTCGACGGGAAGCCCCCTCTCGAAGTTGCACGGCGCGTGTGCCAGGGAGATGCAATCTTGGTGAATTTCGGGGCAAACAAGAGAGTTGGGCCGCTAGCTTCCATCTACCTGTTCCAGCGCATGGGCGGCTTCCAGGTTACGTACCATACCTTCAAGACGAAGTCTGGCAAGCGTTGTGACAACCTGGAAACGCCGCAGCAGATCTCCGACGGCTACGACTTCATCGAGAAGAACAAGCACTTCTTTACCAAAAGAGGTTGCAAGATGCGCCGCTGGGTCGACACAGAGACGCAGAGGGAGGAATCTCCGATCTTCGGCTGGAACGTCGGCCGCGTCCTCGCTGCCATCAAGGACCTGAAGGACGCGGACGCCCAGGCAGCGCCTGAGGAGGAGTACCCGTTGTTCTGGTGCCATATCCAGCCATGGCTTCAGCCCATCCTCGAAAAGCACATGGACAAATGGGGCGAGGATGCGCAGTTGTGGCTTGGAATCGGCGCGAGCGGCAAGTCCAGCGTGCAGTGCATCGTCGGTTTCGCCATGGCGCGCTACCGCATCTTCGAGCTGGACCTCGTCGGCGCGACGGCCGGCGTTCGCTCCTCCACAGACTTCGACCATTTCCGCGAGGAC